AGAATTACAAACGGGAGGACCAAAAAAAAAGCTGCTTAGATTAAATATCACTGGAGAACATGGAAAGACAGGTCAGGCCAAGGTGCATGCCATGCCTGTCAAAAGAAAATATGCAATTAGTATACACCCAGACTATAGAGGGATGTAGTGGAGAATGAACCCGGAAAATATAATCTCAGGTCAGAATGTGTAGAGACTTGATTGTTAAAATCTTTGTTAAAAAGACAAATAGGACTCATCCTATATGTCAAAATGAGAGAGTAATTTTATGCTCCTTGACACAGTACAGTGCTAAAACAAGTGACCCATCAGAGGCCTGGAGACGGGTTAGTATTTTGTACAATAGGAAAGCAACGTCCACGTTGAAGGGGACAGTGGCAGTACATTGGTAGTTGAGGTAAGCGTTGCAAAATGCAACATTTGATAGACTTACCTGTGAGGAAATATTAATTAGATTAATAATTTCACCTTTCAGGTCTTGGGTGTTTATTGTGAGGCAGGGAAGCTTTAGGAGACAATTCCCTGTGACCCTTGTGATGGACATGGTGAGTGTTGCAGTGAGGGAAAAATCTGAGGTGTTAATGCAGACAACACTGAGGAAGTGTCAGAATGAGGCTGAGGTTCTGAAGTTGAACTTTGAGGAATTACTAAGATATTCATATCCAGCCATGTACTTGGAAATCAACACTAAGACATGCTATCCTCTACAGCTCTCCTTCAGTGTGTGTGGGGAAAGCTGTGGGAAAGGCTGGTGGACTCACAGTCACATTGTTTTGTGACAGGATATAGTGGGGAGGGGCAGCCATGCTTATAGTAAAGATAGAGAACAGAGAGCAGACACAGACATGAGAGGATAAACGATGGAGCACAAACACCAGGAGCACAGGACTGAGAGAGTTTTCGGTAAAAGAATGGGTGTGGTCATTGCATACGAGATGGCTGAGAGTTGGATGTACAGGCTGAGCCAGCCTTTCTGTGTGAGGGATGAGGAAGTACAAGCAGTGAGAGTCAGCTTCAGGTCCTGTGTGATGGCAGACAGGAGAGGACAGAGATGGAGGGGCCCAGGAGCCCAGGCAGGACAGAGATGTTGGGAGACAGTGTTCACACCGGGTGGATGCCAGGGTTTGAGCCCTAGAGACAGTCAAATGCTTACTGCTAAATCCCTACCAAGTCTCATTTTGTTTGTTAATTTTTGATAACTTAGAAGGCTTTTTGTTTGCTTGGCAGTGCCTCAAGTATGTTAAAAACAGCAATTAATTAGAATCGGCTTTAATTCTTGTTAGTAGAATGATTAAAAATAGAAATGTGCCTTGTATTGCTTTCTGCATTTCGGGGGAGCTTGGGCAGACTGAGGTGGCTAGTCCTCTATGACTCTGGTCCAGGGTAGAGTCGGGCACATAGCATGTCTACAGGGGAAGGGAAGCTGCATGTGGGCTTCTAGTAATGGGGGAATCATTCCAAGGAGCTCCCAGGACCCAGGGTCTGTAGAGTTGTGGCAGTGGGAGATGTTGACAGTGGTTGGTAGGCGGCTGGGCATGTGGCTGGACACACATTCTTCCTTTGCTCAGTTGTCTGCTAGAGACATATACATCCATTTCTGCGGTCAGATGCCATACATTAGAGGTCTCTCTGTTGGCTCCCCGGTGGATTCCTTCTCCTTCCTGATCTGGAATCAGGCACGATGTGCAAAACTCATACTTAGAGAGGCTGTCACTCCATGGGAACCATGAGAGCATTGTGGCCACTTGTCCTACCAGCCTGCCCTCTTCTTCCCCTGGCTGCTGTGTTCCAGATTTGCCATGGACACCTGCCCAGTGACCACTAGAACTGACCAACAATCAACACTGTTCTTTGTCAGTCTCTCCCTCCTCCCCCCAACTCTAACCCTAGTGGGAAATTGGAGCTTTGGTTCCTTTCTGTAGTGGATTATGGTCATTGTAAGGGAGATGAAAATGAAAGTCCCCCCCTCCTCCACACCCCATCTTTACTTTCCAAAGGCTTTCCATATTCCTAAGTCAGAAAGCCACCTGTAAAACTATGTGATGCCTAGGTACCTTGTGTCTGTGAGGTAAAAGTTCTTGTTTTGTCCTTAATAAACTCCTTCCAAGGATGTAATGGTGCAATTGATTTTTGTTCTCTTTACTAGGTGTCATTGTCACATAAACAGAACATGAGACCTGGGTTTCAAATTGTGCTGCAGTTTTATTCTTAGGAGTGAGCTAGGGACCACTATACAGACAAACTTGGGTTTTTATTCTTGAATTTGTTAAATCTACACTTTGCCTTTATAAGATTTGGAATGTTCTTTGTCCTGATTAAGTTAATGCATATACTTACTAGCTTATTCAATAGACAGTTGAACAACAAAGCCATGTCTTTCATCATCTGGGGCAATAATCCTGGGCATTTTATTTTATCGTTTTCATTTCAGCAGATAAGACTAAGACAGAAGCAGCCAGGGTTCTGCAGGAAAACCAGAATGGAGGTGATGGGCATCTTAGTCTTTGCAGTTGGCTTCTGCTTGTAGAACAGAAAGTGACAGATCTTATGAAGGCAGCAGCAGGGATAAGGCATGGTCCTTGTTTCAGAGCCTGAGTCTGTGCAGTTTCCAGGGGGAAGGAGGTTCCTTTTGTCTAATTTTTTAAAGAATACTAAATTTGTCAATGATCCCTGGTTTCTACAGTATTTCATAAAGGTGGTTTTTGTTTGTTTGGTTTTTGGTTTTTCAAGACAGGGTTTGTCTGTGACTTTGGAGCCTGTCCTGGAAATAGCTCTGTAGACCAGGCTGGTCTTGAACTCACAGAGATACACCTGCCTCGGCCTCCAGAGTGCTGGGATTTAAAGGCGAGCACCACCACTGCCCGGCTTTATTTTGTTTTTGTTTTGGACCATGATTTTACTTGTTTTCTCACTTGTTAGTTGAAAATCCGTTTTATAATTGTTAAAGCTCTAAGTTCTTTCTTTTAAATGTAGTCATTAGCAAGTGCCCCTCATCATGCTTAGTGTTGCCAAGAAAATTAATGGTATTGTGTATGTCAATGGAGAATTATCTCCTCTTCCCTTCCCCATTTCTTGGTAGTTTGGAAATGAGCAATCTGTTCTAAAAATCCTTAAGTGCATATCATCGTTTATTTCTGTAGTGCATTGCCAGCATCTATAAGAGCCATTAAAATCACTAACATGATAATAGGTTTTGTGCAGCAATTTAAAATCCAAGTAGGGGAAAACACCTTTGCTAAGCATGGAGTGTCTCACTGAGGATCTCAAAGGTGATCTTTTTCTTTTGGAGAGACAAAAATGACTTCATCTTTTAAAAGTTAATTGCAATCATGGGTAACTTTTTAGTCCTTTTAAATATTCTCTGTTAGAGTGTGAATACTTTAGGACAGGCAGTCAGAGGTACTTTCAGAGATTACATGTGATAATCTCAAATCCAGGTCATCCATCCCCCTGTGTATGTGCTGTTTATGTTTTCATGTTTATATGACATGCATAATTCTTAAGTTTAAAGTGTTCAGTGGTTCCTTTGGAGTTTAACGACATGCCTGTGATATGGCTAAATGTTTTCTGTTGTAGAATAATAGTCTTCATTACATCATAGGTACATGCATGTGTATGCATGTGTTTGTGTGCATGTATGTGTAGAAGCTAGAAAATAATCATGGGTGTCATCGTTTTTTTTTTTTTTGTGTCCTTTTTTTTTTTTTTTTTTTTTTTTTTTTAAGATAGGATCTCTTTCTGGCCTGGAACTACCCATATAGGCTAGGCTGGCTTGCCAGTGAGTGCTGGTTATTGAATTTAGGTCTTTGTGATCACAAGGCAAGCACTGTGACCCATCTATCTCCCAGCCTCATAAAGCTTCTTTCTGAGTTCAGTGACATTGGGAGACAATGAGTGTCTGAGGCTTTCTTTCTTCCTACGATTTATTTTTTGTCCTGATGGGTGTTTGTTCTTGGGTCACTTTGTGGGCCTTCATAACACTTACAAAATGAAGGGGCTGAACACATGGTCTCTGAGGTCCTTTTCCATTTGAAATTCCTCTGAACGAGTGAATCACCTGCTGTTGTGTTCACATGTAACACTGCTTTGCTAAATTACATCTCAAATTACTATAGTCAGCAGCTCTTTCTCCATTGTCGTCTCCTTTTGAAATCTTTTCCTTACCAAACATAGTACATTTGGAAAGCATGCCCTGTGGATTATACCATACACTGACACCCTGCACCCCCAAATGCAATAAGGGAGGAAGCCTGATTATAATCTAAGCCATGGCCAGGCTGAGGATGAAGAGGCTATGTTCCGTCATCTCACAAGTTTCAGATGTGAGGAGTGTTGTTAGTGATAGTCTGATGCTGTTTCGTTTTGCTCAGGTAGGTGGAACAGAATTCTGGGAATACAAGGATGATGTCAGGATCTGGAAAAGAGCAAGGTGGCAATGGAAGGGGATTTGCTATGTGGATGTAGGTTTTAGATTGTTGATGCTCGGGCCCAGTGTGGTTCATCAGGCACCCAGATTTCTCCGCCTCCACTCAGCCAGCAGTGAAGTGAATTGGTGCTTGGGTGCATTTCCTTAGGCAGTTTTGAAACTTGGCTCATGACTGTGTGTGTGTGTGTGTGTGTCACAGAGAGAGAGAGAGAGAGAGAGAGAGAGAGAGAGAGAGAGAGAGAGAGAGAGAGAGATAACTAATAAAATTTCTAAGTAAAAGCAAAAACTCCAGTCTATATTTAATGGTTCACATGTATGGTATTCTTAAAAATGTTTTGTTCTATATGTGATACTAATAATGTGTTTCAAGAATACAATATTTCTGGAAGGATGTTGAAAGTGGGAGTCTACAGACTGTATGGTCTTTGGGAGCGTTAACTTCAAGTTATCCATGGATTGATCATCACTTAGGTTAGTTTTCTGAGTCTCATGCAAGTGCCGTATGACCCAGGTAGCAGCACCAGTGGGTATTGCGCATGTCCAACCAGTGAAGATGTGGTTTGTCTTGACTCAGGTAAGGCGAGTTCCTGGGTCAAGCGGTCACCTCCATAAAACTGAAGATGGAGATTGGGAGTGGAGCGACGACGAGATGGATGAGAAGAGCGAGGAAGGGAAGGCAGCTGCCTCTCAAGAGAAGGTAAATGGCCTTGGCCACCACACCAGTCTGCATTGTGCTGCTGTAGTATGTCATGTATGCTAATGGACGTATAATTGTTTTGCAGTCACGAAGAGTAAAAGAAGAAAACCCAGAGGTGAGGAATGACTATTATGTATGTATGTTTGGGGTGTATTTGCATATTTATCTATTCACTACTTAATTCTCCATTGTGGCATCAGAGTCTGATCCATTTGGGAGACAGTTCCCAAAATCTCATGGAGTAGGAGAGAAGGAAAGGCACATAGGAATCATTGGTCCTACTTCTGTCTGAGTCACTGTGACAAATTAATTTACTCCCTGAGACTCTGCTCTCCCCAGTGGGGTGATGGTGATGCTTCTGAGGTAGCCAAGAAGACAGGAAGAGTCACATGGCAAGCACTCAGTGGTAACTTTGGCCCTTACAGGAAGAAAATTATTTCTAATTTGTACTGTTACACTATTAAAAAATAATGAAAGCATATAGGTAAAATTTGCCTTGTTTTTAATTCATGAAAAGAAAAAGCAGACTTTGAGTGGTAGAAACTCCAGGTTGAATGACTCTTGACTTTTAAATGTGCTGGGTGACTTAAGTAAGCTGGGGAAACACTCTTAATGACTTCTCTGAGAACTGGTCATCTTTTTACTAAAATCATGTTTTACTTGCTTCCTCCATCTGATTAACTATCCTAATATCTAATGAGGACTATAGCATGCTAATACTCGTAGAGGAAATTTGAGAATATTTAAATAGCCCCCAGTGTTTCAAAGACTCAGTAAATAATATGTACCTTGATAACCCTCGTTACAAAACAGGAAAACTTGGACCTAGAATTGATACCCATCCAACCTTCTTTTTTGGTTTGCACACAATTCCTTTTGGTTAAGTCAAGTACATGTTACATCGGGTTTGACGTGGCAGTTGCTAACTGCACTTTTAGCAAACCCGTAGCAGATCCACAAGGCACTCTGTCCCCTGGCCTTTTTGAACACTCTGCTCTCTTCATGTCATGGAGGAAGGTTCCTGCTGTCATTTCTCACCCCACAATGTTGGGTCTCCTTCAGATCCCGCCTTCTCTCCTGTGTGTTCTATGAACTACTCTACTTCTTATAACATCGACATCCCTCAAGGATGTTGTTCTCTGCTATAGAAACAGTGGTGGAGCATCTAAAATGGGACATACGTTACATGGGGGGAGGGTTAGAACAATCTTAGCCGGCTATAATGAACTCTACCCTCTCTTGCTCACTTTCCCATTGTGACCAGAGAAAAGCACAAAGTTCAGATTTTTTTTTTCATTTGCATCTAAGACTATCTCTAACTGAAAGCCTGAGTTCTGCTTAGGTGTAGAACAAGTGAAGATGCTTCAAGCACCATCTTTGACTCAAAAAGTGTTGCAGCTCAGTCATCTTTGACTAGGAACCCAGGGCAGTATTTTATTTATATGATCGTCCTCTTTGCATTCTGAATATACTGTACATGCTTATTGGTAATATGAGTATCTAGGGAAAAAACAGAAAACAGCTATGAATTGGCTATAATATTTGTGCAGTCAGAATGGGCATAAAAGATCACAAGACGTTATGTAGTTGAAGTGAAGCTGAGCGAAAGCAGCGTTGGCACTACCGTGCCAAAGACAGAGTGCGATGTGGCATTCTGTGAGTGCCTTGCTTGTGAGAGGCTGCACGCCATCCTCAGCAGGCCAAGGTCGCACATGCAGATATCCCAGACCTGCTGGGCAAGGCCGGAGTAGCTGTTCGTCAGTGGGTTACTGAGGGAAGAGGTGGCTCTTGGGCTGCATTTGGTCGTTCTGCTTTGGAGAGGATTTCCAGTGTGGACCTTTAAACTTTTAGAGTTAGCACTAGTTAGCTTGAAACTCATAGCCCAGCACTTTGAAAAATTGGCCCAGTTTCTTAAAAATATGATATTCTGGGAAACTTACCCACTAGTAATTAATAATTTGGAGCAAATGGATAATCACCCTCTCTTATCATCTCGTTTGACTTGGAGACAGAAGCCCACGGGGACTCAAGTTCATTAACAACAATACTAATATTAGAACCAGAGTGAATTAATTGATCAAAAACTGAACCCATACCTCATGTCTGCACGGAACTGTGTTAGGCACCATGGGATTTATGCACAGAGAGAAGACTCCAGCTTCCTAGGGAGCTTTTCATCTTTGGGGAAAACTGCTGAGAAAGCCTGGGCAAGGACTAGCTTCTTAGGGAGTGGTTCCCAGCTCATGAATCTTACCTAAAATTTCCAGCTATTATTGTATTGTATTATTATACATTAATGGTTTTTCTTTTGAGAAGTGGTTTGGAATTTCTTTTTGTCAGACTCTGAAGTGAGCACTTGCTACATGTTTTTGTCACTTTTGCATCTCTCTCTTAATTTTCTATGTGAAAAGTGAAGCTGACTTTCTCTTTAGATCTAGCCTCCCTTTGGTTTTGTTTAGCTGAGGAAGACATATTCACCAAGGCCATTGCTTAAACAGATCCTTTTAAAAGCCACACATTAGTTAGCTGATAGGAAAAGACCTGCTGCCTTGCCTCCAATCAGAGCAGACAAAACCTTGGAAAACATTCAAGTGATTCTTAGGTTCAGCCCATAGGGTTGAGCTTGGTAGCTTAAGGTTAGGTCTGGGCAACTCAGATTTTCAAAAGCTTCTCATGTGATTCTGATTTGTGGCTAGAATCTAGACTACTGACTAGAAAAACCTCAGAAGTCACTCTGAATCCACATGGGCAGAATGGTATCCAAGAAGGTTCTGGGTCTATGTTCCTGAAGCTTCTGCTTTGATATCTGCCTGCCTGGAATTAAGAAATAAATAAGAGAAGGAGACATTTCACCAATCATCTGAAAACTTGTCTTTGCCTTGGGCTAAGCAGACCCAATAGGAAGGATGGTGAAGGGTCTTGTTACCTGGTGTCTAGTCTAAGATAACTAGGACAGCCCAGCTTTGCTGGCTCTGTGATCTTACTCCCAGCAGAGCAGCTTTTCATTGTGGACTTAGATCGAATTAATTTTTTACCAAATTTAACTAGAGATTAAACACAATGTGAAGATTAAATGTATTTCTATTGCTTGGTGGCTTTTAAAACTGCCATTAGCTCTTAAAACTGTTCTGATAAAAGGTGTTTCTCTGATGCTTGGCAGCTCTTGGACGTGCTTATTTATACCTCTGTGTAAAGGCAGAGAAAGGCCGATGGCTTCCTGAGTATGTTATGCTGAGCCCTGTCTGTCACAGACTATGCAGCCTTGGTGTCCAGCTGCTGTGGTTTAGTACAGATGACTGCCCTTCAGAGTACTTGTGACCAAGGTTACATGTGTGATTAGAAATCACTGTGCTTCCAAACATTCCTTACTGTTTTATAATAATTTCCCTTTTGTAGAAATGCTGCAAAGATGGCAGACTCCTCATGCAGTTTTTCTCTGTGTCATTTCTCACATAATCTAGATATATTTATTAGAACTCACAAATATTTATTAGATATATTTATTAGAACATTCTGCTATTTTATTGTCAGCTAAGCTTCAGAATTCCCTGGGATTTCACTAATTTGACCACTAATGTCCTCTTCCTGCTCTATGGGCATGCAATCTAGCATAACACATTTGCTATGGTGTATTTAAAATAGAAAAAGAACAGGTAAAGCCCAGCTCTATCAGAAGGTGGGAAGTAGTCGATGCCTCCTTTGGTTTTTTTCTTTTGTTTTATAATTGTTTTTGTTTTGTATTAGCTCTGAAGTATTTACCTCTCTTCCTTCCTTCTGTGCTTCTCTTCTTCCTCCTCCCTCCTCCTCCTCTTCCTCCTTCTTTTTTTCTTTTTTTTTTCAGGCAGGGTTTCTTTGTATAGCAGCCCTAGCTGTCCTGGAAGTCATTCTGTAGACCAGGCTGGCCTTGAATTCACAGAGATCTGCCTGATTGTGCTTCCAAAGTGCTGGGTAAAGGCATGTGCCACCACCACCCGGCAATTAATTGTTTTTCTTAGAGTCACTTTTTCAACAACATGTTGTTAAAGAACTTTTCAAACATACAGCAACATTAAAACACTTCATAGTGACATACCTATCATCATATTTTGGCTGTTACTAAGGTTGCTTTTTCACATATGTGTTCTATTCATCCAGTTTGCCCCGTTTAACTATTCCATGCATTTCAAAGTAAATGAGAGGCATTCATTAATGAACTTCAGTGCAAGTGAAGTCATTTTTGAATGTGCACAGAGAGCAAGAAGTTCACTGTCTTCCATTTTAGACCAAGTTCACTGCCAAGATTTCTGATGATTTTAGTGTTGGTGACAAAATCCCACTCATTCATTTTCATTGCTGTTTCTCCTTGAGTGTGGTGGGTTTTGTTGGTGTTGTTGACTGTCTCTTAAGTTTATGCTCCGGGGTAGAGTTCACAAATGTAGAGCTTGAGGCAGAAATACCTTGGGACCAGAATAGAAATCTTGAGTGAAAAGTTTCACTCTTGCATTTCTTTTAGGGAAACGGTTTTGTGGTTGTTTTTCACTACACTTAACTCTTACTTGTTTTTACAAAGGTGAGAAATCATTCAAAGTAATAATGTACAAGGCAGGTTTTGCTGACTCTTCATATGCTTTCATTAAGGTCCCCTTAATGTTAGATGAAATGGTACTGCAAGATCAAGCTGCTCTTTTAAAGCATGCTCTTTCTCATAAACCTGTGGGTCGTCCCAGATCTTATTAAAGACATAGATTCTCTCCCTTCTCCATGAGATTCTGAATGTCAGAACAAGTGGGGCCCTGGAGTATAAAGGTGGCCAGCAGCATACTTTGCCAGATGTTGTGGCTTAAAGTCTTAGAAGTATCATCTCCGATTATGAAGATACAGTGTCCCAATGACTGACATCTCCCTCTGGCTTCCTTTTGTCATAATGTCAGTTTTCTTAACAGATTTCAGTAAACGCTGGTGGCATCCATGAGCAAATACAGTCCCTCTCCGTGCATGACTCTCAGGTGGGTTCTTCTGCCAAGCATTTCTATTTGAGATGTTTTGTAGATAGCTGCATAGAGAAACTCAGGAAATGTCATTATTTATTCTTCTCTCATATATTATATCCTTATTGCAGTTTTTCCTCCCTGCACTCCTTCCACTCCCTCCACCCCAACCACCCCTTCCCCAGATCCACTCCTCCTCTATTTCCCTTCAGAAAAGAGCAGGCCTCCCAGGGTTATCAACTGAACATGGCTAGTTACAGTAACAAGTTATAGAGTAAGACTAGGCACAGACCCTCATATCAAGGCTGAATGAGAAACAGGAGAAATCAGACAGGTGGGAAATGGAGAGTGAGTACTGGAAGAGACGACTGGAACTGGGGGGAACTTGGGGGTTAATGTGCAGTGGAGATTTCCTGGAATCTGTGAGGGTGACCCTAGTGAAGATTACTAGTAATGGCGGATGCAGAGCTTGAACCTGCCATCTTCTGTAACCAGGCAAGGCTGCCAGAGGTGGGACTGGGACATCAAGCCAGCCATAAAACCTTTTACCTATAATTTGTCCTTCTTGCAAAATGTGCTGGGGTAATAGTGGCCCAGAATTTCTGGGAATGACCAACCAATGACTAGTCCAACTTAAGGCCCATTCCATGAGAGGGAACCCACCTCTGACACTATCTGGATAGCCCAGAGACTCACCCCATCCCCAAAAAGGCCAGTGAAATGAGTCCTAATGTTATTCCTCTATATTCATAGGTCAGTGCCTAGCCCAGTAGTCCTTAGAGAGGCTTCATTCATCAACTGATGGGAGCAGATGCAGAGACCCACAGCCAAATATTAGACAAAACTCAAGAGTTTTAGACAGATAAACACTTCAAGATGGTGTTCCCAAATCCAGGGCTTAGAAACAACAACAGAATCCATCCTTTTTAAGTTGATATGAAGAAAGAGAACATCACTACTGTCAACCACCTTTTGCAAGGCATTCAGCCCTAACTAATGGACTGTTGAGAAGGAATAGATTACCCAGGTGCCTCTGAAAATCACTGGTACTGTGGGCTAGAAGCAAAGGGAAGAAGAGGACTCTTAAGTCTGTTAAACTCTAGCTACCAATACCGTGGTTAATTGATTCTTTCCTCCCTTGCTTCTGATTGGATTTCTCTAGCCTCTCTTGGTGATTCTTTTATCGTTGAATTTTATGGGCCAATTCATCTCTACAACTTGTCTTATTAAAATAATAGTTCAGTGACTGTGCAGTGCATGTATAATGTATACTTATAACCGGTTTATGACAGGAGGGCCTGTGCTGTGATTGTGTTGGGTGGTGAAGCTATCCAGGGAAGGACATAGACACAGAGCCCCGAATAGGCCCGTGTGTTTTGTTATCTAATGGTATTCTGATTATACATCTCTGTATTTTACCTAACCTGCTTCTGAGGTCTGCTAGCTAGCCCTTGTCTTTTATAGCTGCAGAAAGGCATCCAGGGGGTAAGTGGTTCGCACAAGGCCATGCAGCTGCTCAGAGGCAGAAGCAGGGTTCAGTTTCGATCTTGACAGTCTACCATCCAACTCAGTGAAAGACCCTGAGGTGAACCATAGGGGTTAGCCTCATTGTAAAAAATGAATTAGGAAGAAGTATGGGAAAGCTAAGGTAGTAAACAGGAAAAGGGGACAGTATTGATTAACATTTTATAATTTATGACTCGCTTTTACATCTCTTATTTTCCCAGCAACCCTTTGGGACAGGTGACTTACCTAGTTTGTAAATGGAGCAATGGGCTCCGAGAATTACTTGCCCAGGGTTGCACAGCAGGTTACCAGCAGAGCCAAGCTGCACTTGAAATCTTTCCTTTTTCCTGCCTTTTCTTTTTCAACAAAAGAGGTCTGATCAAGCCCAGGCATTCATAGGAATAATGTGTGTCACAGACATCCATGATGATGATCTGTATCAAGATGATAAGTGAGAAGTACAGTGAGAATGAATGTGGATTAATCTGTGTTCACCTCTGATGCTTACATTTAATGTACCTAAGTCATCCCAGCCGCCCCCCCCCCCCCCACCAGGTATAGTCTGGGGATAGAACCCAACACCTTATCCATGTTAGGCAAGTTTAGCTCTTGCTTTTTTGACACAGGTTCTTGCTATGTAGCATAAGCTGTGTGTGCTTAAACTTGCAGTTCTCCTGCTTCCATGGCCTGTATGCAGGAATTACAAGTGTCACAACCAACCCCTACAAGGTTCCTTAGCTTTGTGCATCTCCACTGTCCAGTGGATGTTGGTCCTTTGCTCTGGACCAACAGAGTGCCACTTTAGGTGGATGGCCATAATTTGGAGTAGCTGCAGCAAAAATTTCACTCATAGAATTCATCTTGTGACTGAGGCTGTCTGTATAGAGCATCGGCACCCACAGTTGTGACATTAATTAAGAAGCTTTCTGACCCTCTGCAAAAGGTGTTGTGCAACCAAAGACCTGCTGGGATAAGCACTGATTTTGAACTTTCCAGAAAGAGCTATAGGAATCAAGAGATTCTATGATTTTATTCATCCTTTTCCCAAGAAAGCTTAAAACACTGTCTGTTGTTTTGTTTTCAAAGGGCCAACCCAATGCTAATGAAGACTATAGAGAAGGGCCTTGCGCAGTCAACCTTGTTTTGAGACTAAGGTAAATAAATAACTTTATTCCTTATTTTGCATCATTTGTTTTTCCTACAGTACAGTATTATGACCTCCTCCTTTAACTTTTCATAATATTAGGATAAAATGAAATTGTTAACTTACATAATTTTCCCAAACAACAATATATGCCATATTCCTGAAACTAATTACATTCCTTCCTTTCATTGCTTGCAAAATGATTAATAAGAGAAACACCATTTGAGAGCAGCTGTAGGCTCTATATACCCTTCATTACATTTTTCCCCTTGCCTTTTCTTTCTTTATTGCTTTTTTCTTTCTTTTATTTCCTTTTTAACAATGTAAGATCACAGTAAGAGATTTTTAATGAGTTTCTTTCACACTCCAGCAGTCAGTTTCTGACAGAAATAAACCATGCTTGTACTACAAGTTGCCTGTTCAGAACATTTTTCAGTGGCAGGTTTGATCAGCCACTGTGGAAAAATGACAGATATATTTTGAAAGCACTTTCATTCTTGTAGGGAATGGATACAAATATGGCGCCTGACAGTCCATAGGCTGGTGAATGAAAGCTGTTTCTATTTTAAGACTCTTTTAAACTTAAAGGTCTGTCTTTGCAGATGTTCTTTGTTAAAGATGCAGTGTCTCAGGAGAAAGGAAAATTGGCTGAACTTAATTGCAGTCAACCCACTTTAAGGTGTTAAAAGGGCAATCATGTGTTTTCCTGAAGTTACAAGCTTAGAGCATATGTGGTTAATGCACATGTTCACAGTTGTGGTTAGGAAAATGGATGTATAGTCAAGGTCAATGTTGGTTTCCAACTCATAGAGTTAGCGTAGTCTGCCGGAAGGGCTATTGTGAACACCATTCCTTCTTAATGTGTTTCCACATACCTTCCAGGGGACTCCACAGCAGTATTTGGTGACATTTAGAGTGGACTTTCTAGCCAAGGAGTAAAACTAATTCAACACAATAGCTTTAAGGAATCTGTACAATTAATGGCTTTGGCAATTGCCAAAGAATGAAGTAGACCATTTGTGTTTTTGCCTTTGGAACCACAATAGAGATTTAAATATTCAAATTCCATCCATTGTTTATCTAGTTTCCCGAAAGAAAAACCTACGTCAAGTGAAAAGAAAGGAAGGGGATGTTGGCATATATATTATTGAGGGTATTGCACTGAATGGTTTTATGTCATCTTGACACAAGCTAAAGTCATCTAAGAGGAGGAAACCTCAATTAAGAAAATGCTGCCATAAGATTAGGCTGTAGGCATGCATGTAGGCCATTTTCTTAGTGATTGGGCATCCCAGCCCATTGTGCCACACCTGGGCTGGTGGTCCTGGCTTCTATGAAAAGCAGACTGAGCAAGCCATTAAGCAACATTCCTCCATGGTCTCTGGATCAGAGTCTGCCTCTAGGATCCTGCCTGCTTGAGTTCCTTGTCCTGACGATCTTCATTAGTGAACAGCAGTTTGGAAGCATAAGCTAAATAAACCGTTTCCTCTGTAAGTTGCTTTGGTCGTGATGCTCCATCACAGCAATAGTAATCCTCACTAAGACAAGTGTACTAGTTTTCTATTGCTGTGAAAATCTTAACCAAACAGTGATGTGAACAGTGACCACTTACTGTTTCATCAAGTCCTAATCAGAAGCGCAGGGCCAGCTTTGCTGGGTTCTCCCTTGTCTTATAAGACTGAACCCGAGGCACTCTGTCCATTGGGGCAAGGTCTTCTTCATATCAAGGGGAGAAGGTTAGGAAGTAGACGACAAACTTTAGGAAAGAGAACTGTTAGGAACCTTCTAGAGCTCTGCAATCCCTAGAAGATCTCCCCAAATCAGGTCACATTAGAATGTAGATATCCTAGTTCAAAAGTTAAGAATCAAGCCTTGGGGCCGAGTGAGTGGTACTGGCAAGGGTTCTGTTCAGGAAGTATTGATAACCATTTCTAAAAGTGCCTGGAAAACCAGTGTGGGCAGAGTCATGGCAGGGTATAAGGTCAGAGTTAGCGTGGATGCCCAGGCATGTAGCCTGTGTAGCTTCTGGAGAAGATTTTTGCCTTCATTGTTACAGGATCAGGCAGGCTGTGAGCAGGAGTGTGAGGAGCTAAACTTTAAAACGAGCACGGCTGCTACCTTCTGGAGAGTATATTTAGCATCTTTACAGTTATATGCTATGCAGATATTATTTTCAGGGCCCTGTCAATTTGGTATTGTGTGTGATTCTTCTGTATGTGTGGATATTGTGGTAGTTTGAATGAAAATTGCCCCCATAGGTTTACAGTGCCGAGTGGCACTATTAAGAGGTGTAGCATTGTTGGAGTAGGCGTGGCCTTGCTGGGGGAAGTGTGCCACTGGGGGTGGGCTTTGAGGTTTCAGATGCTCAAGCCAGGCCCAGTGTTGCTGTCTCTTCCTGCTGCCTGCTGATCCAGATGTAGAACTCCCAGGTCTCCCTCCTGCTTCATGGCTGCCTGTGTGCTACCATGCTTCCCATCATGATGATAATGGGCTATACCTCTGAAATGTAAGCCAGCCCCAGTGAAATGCTTTCATATATAAGAGTTGCTGTGGTCACGGTGTCTCTTCACAGCAGGTGAAGGCAGGTGTGCAGCTGCTTAATCTTGGAAAGTTTTCTTCTGTGATCTTGTCGAAGAGCTATTGTGTGCCATTGACCTGCGATTCTTTGCATTCGTCTGAACCTACAATTAGAAGATTTTTTGTTTGTTTGTTTGTTTGTTTGTTTCCTGGTGCCCCATAGTTCTCGAATGTGATTAAAATAGAAAGAGTTAACATTTCCGAGGACTTGTAGGAGCTCGGTATGGTGGCTTCAGCCTGTAGTCCTAGCAGTAAGGTGACTGAAGAAGGGGGATTGCCACAAGTTTGAGGCTAGCCTAGGATATAAGGCCGGGGCTTGTCTCAAAATCCAATACCCAAACTTTCACAGTGATTCTAAGAGTGACAGCTTTGGAGAGACTGTTGAATAAGTAAACATTGCCATTGAGTGCTTGTACGTGAAAGATGGCCTTTGGGATCCCTTCTCACATCAACTTCTCCCAGAGACCCAACCTCTTGCAAGTTATTTGAGAATCAAAACGTGCCATTCAGTGTTGGTCCCTGCCATGCAGTTTCTTCACACCCACTTTCCATTTGAAGTCTTCTCTAGAACCTCAGTATTACCCTTTGGTCCAGATAACTATATCCTGAACTATCGTGGGTGATAGGAAGGGGGGGACGGCTGTTCTTAAATGTTTATCAGAAGAAAAAAAAAATGTCATGCTACATTCATTCAGCCTCATGGCCATGTCTCATAGCTTCCAATTTGTGTGTATGCACTTCTACGTGTACACATATTATGGTGGTTTGAATAGGAAGGGACATGTCTGAATGCTTGGCCTGTAGGGAGTGGTGCTATTAGGATGTAAGCCTTGTTGGAGTAGGTGTGGTCTTGTTGGAGGAAGTGTGTCATTGTGGGATCAGGCCTTGTCGTCTCATGTTCAAGCTTCACCCATTGTGGTACAGAGTGTCCTTCTGTTCCTTGTGGATCGAGATGTAGAACTCTCAGCTACCTCTCCAGCATCATGTCTGCCCACACGCTGCCCAGGCTTTCCACCATGATGATAGACTACACCTCTGAAATTGTAAGCCAGCCCCAATTAAATGTTTTTCTTTGTAAGTGTTGCTGTGGTTATGGTTTCTCCTCACAGCAATAGAAACCCTAACTAAGACACACATATATGAATATATACATTTGCCCTGAATCATTGGCCTACATGGTATGTTGGTATCAGCAAATTTGCTTACAATCATTGTTCCCTGAGGTTATGTGGCACGGCATGTGTTTCCACGAACTAGTGGGTGGGCGACTTAAGTTCAAGCCAGCCTTTCATCAATCCTTAACTAGAACAATGTGAGTGGCTGATTGCTCTACCTTTTATAAGGTCACTCTGACTTTTTTGGTAAAAAATTTTATAGACTTGTTAGGAACATGCCTTCCTTCCTCATTGTACACTTGTGTACCCATCAGCCTCCTCTCCTTGCTCTGAAAAGATCCACATTGAACACCTGTATAGCCAATAGTCTCGTCCAGCTTCTCCTGAAAAGGTCCTCTCCATTCTGAGGGTAGGAAATTGGGAAATCTTTTACTTTCAAAATGATGCATTCTACAAGAAAAGACAGGTGCATTGTGGGTCTTGGTAGTGTCTGTCTCTTTTATTCATTCACTTGTTCTCATAGACAAAAGACCAAGGAGACAAAAGCATAATTTTCAATTGGAAAAAAACATAATTAGCTTTTAAAACTGATGCACTTACACATGAGATTGAGAAAATAGACTTAAACCTTTGGTCTCTGTGTCAAATGTTGGACTTGGGTAAAATGTAGATTTTTCCCCCTGTATGTACATTACCGGTACTATTTTCTTCATACCCTATATAATTAGGTTATATGTAACATAAGATAAAATATGTATCATAGAGTAAGTGGTCAGAAAGTGTTCTTGGATGTACTTCAAGAGGAAGTTTCCAACTGTGTTAACTTGTGTTTCACATGCTGTCAGGACATGGTTATAACTTTTTTTTTTTTTTGGATTGAGTCAAATAACAATGTACAGATATTTTGCCATTAGTGTACTTCTACTTAAATAAAAATATGGGCCCGAAGAGGTGGCTCTGTGATTAAAAGTACTTGCTGCTCTTCAAAACCACCCAGTTTGGCTCCCAGCATGCACATTGGTCAGCTCTCAACCACCAATCCAGCTCCCGGTGATCTGACAGCCTATCGTCATCTCCACAGGCACACCCCACCCCCACACAAATAAAATTGTATAAACCTTTCACAAGTAGTCATGGGGGCTGGAGATATGGTTCAGCACTTAAGAGCATCAGGCACTCTTCTAGAGGACCTGGGTTCAAGAACCAGCATGAGCATGGTTGCTCAGAACTCTGTTTACCTCCAGTCCTTGGGGATCTGATGCCTTGTTCTGGGCTCGGAGGGTACTGTACACATGTGCAACAGCTATATGTGCAGGCA